CAACATTTCTTTCCCTCTTTCTCCAGGATCTGGTGAACTCCAGCCAATCGCTGCTCGAGTGGTGTCAGAGCATCACTAGTGGGTACCAGGGGGTAAAGGTCACAAACTTCAGCACTTCCTGGAGAAATGGGCTGGCCTTCTGTGCCATCCTACACCACTTCCATCCAGACAAAATGTACGACATTTTACTCAAACGTTACTAGTTTTGAGTAGATTCTCTTTGGAAATTATAAATATTAACTAAACTGTTAATCTTAATGTTGTAAACTACTTTTCTGTTCCTGCTTTTGTGCCATTAGAGATTTTGACCAGTTGGACCCTCATGATATCAAACTCAACAATAAAAAGGTGAGCATGATTTAATGTTTTTAGCTCTTGGCTGTTTAGTGCACTGTGCCATCAGTTTGTTTTTCCAGCCACATGAAAGGATGATGACATAGTTCTGGTAACTTTTAGATCAATATTTTTCATGCAATATAGTCAGAGATGTTTGACAATTAACACCCAGAGCAATAAGTTTAATTCTTAGCCCACCCCTTATTTCTTTATATTTTGCTTACAAGCAGCCAGACGTTCTCGTATTTTTTAAAGTGGTCCTGAATGATAATTTTCCAGGCTTTGCTCCAGAGCACATATTCTGCTGTTCCATTAAAAGAGTGTTGCTAGGGCAATTGTTGCCATCTCCTTTTGTAATCCTGTGTTTCCTAACAACATCAGGCGTTTGATGGCTTCGAGGCGCTGGGAATCTCTCGCCTGCTGGAGCCGTCAGACATGGTCCTTCTGTCTGTGCCTGACAGGCTCATAGTCATGACCTACCTCAGCCAGATCCGCTCACACTTCACTAACCAGGAGCTGAGCGTGCTGCAGATAGAGCACAACAGCAGTAAGTCCAGTTACGGCGTCACTCTCACCGGCCCGACTCCCACGAATGTGGACGCTGCTGCTTTCTGCATGGCCAGACTAAATGAAGGAGTGAGTCTAGAAGAGGGAGGAAGCAGCACGCTGGTGGTCCCGCCGCCAAGAGCTAAACGACAGCTTAAAGGTATTAGTATCATTCCCTCTGTATGATTATTTTATTATATATTCACCAAATAAGGTTAATTTTGCCCACTTTGGCTTTTTGGAACTTTTACAGTTTCTGTTGTCTTACCATAACAAACTGTGCAGGCATAGTTAAAAACGTTTTATTATGCAAGCCCTTTCACACCATAAACCTGGGTTAAAAAAGCAAAAACAGCGAGGAGAGCAGAAAGGAAAAGAGTAAAGGTGGAAACACTAGTGTTTCCCAGGGTAACTTAGGAATGTGAAGTAGCAAATTTAGAGCTAAGGCGACAAGAGGCACAGAAAACAGATCAATAAATCAAGTTCACAATGCTTCGCTTAAGATTTTTGTTGGTTCCCAGAGATACCAGATGTGCCTTTTTAGTGCAAACGTGTTTAATATTCATTTTGGCTATAAATATTAGTCCCAGTAGAACAGCTGTGAAATTTATTATTCTTATTTAAAACTCCTGAATGTCCCCGGAGACATGTTATCTCAAATAGATTCATGAGCGATGAGGTCTGGCATGAACTCTGCGTGTTCTATCAAAGTTGGAAAAGTTCTGATGATTTCATATGTGAGAAAACCGTCTCAGCCTTTTTCCCTCCTGTGCTGTTATCAATGGTTTGGACTGGTCGACATCCAGTTAGGACATCCAGTAAGTGATGTCATGTACATCTGTTATGATGCTATTATGCTATTATCACAATGTAATATTTAATATGTCATGACCATTAGGGCATTATTTTCTGCTGTGGCTCCTGGTAATCACATACATCCACAAAGTGTCAATGGAGCAGATTCAGATACATGTTTTACTTTCGCTTTGATAGTTCTTTCTTTGGCTTTTCATTTTACTGGATTAAGTACATATGGATAAATACTCTGTACCAAGTTTTCTGAGGCCTTAAAACAATTAAAGAAATGTAACATGTAATCATTTGTCTGTTCTGCTTTTAGTGGAGGAGTCCATAACTCCAGTCCCACCCCCACGGTCTCTTACAAAGGTAGTCAAGCCTGGGCCGGCTCAGGTAACACTTTGTCTTTCTTCCTTTATAATTGACATCAGCAAACAAACTTTTCAGGCAAAAAAATACATGAAACACACTCAATTTTTACTTTGCATTTTCACCTCTGTTTAACTTTATACATTTGCTTTACTGTAGCTATATGAAAGTTTTATATTTCTTCTCCAGGATGAAAATACAATGTCTAACTCTGCAACAGAAAACACGAGTAATACAGGTATGAGCCTGCAGAGTAAGCCTTTTCTAACATTTGAAGCATTTGTTTTAGCACTCTTTCCCTCACTTTTTTCCCTACTCTGATTTGTGTATTTCAATTTTTGCAGATTTTCAGTGTGCAGATGAGCCCCAGCCTCCAAAACAAGACGAGGAAACAATGGTCAGTCATGTGTTCCCCTTTTCTGTTCTTTATTTCATTTCTATATCATTTTGATTCTCCCATCATCATTAATTGATGGCTCCAAAAAGTACTGAATAACAGTTGTCCAGTTCATCATTCACATCTTATATTCTCCATCCTTTGACCTCTCTAATCTTTTTGACCCTCTTCTTCTGCTTCTCTTCGTATGTCCCCCTCCCCTTTCTGCTGTCCGATCCCCTCTTTCTGTTGATCTCTTCTCTTCCTCTATGTGTGGCTTTCTGTCGTCATTCTGTATGTTCATGTGTGTTTGCCTCTATTCGTCTGCGTGTCTTTGTACGTGTGTGATGGTGGCTTGTGGTCAGTCTCTGCAGGACACCAGCCAGTATGTGTTGAGTGAGCTGGCAGCATTGGAGACAGAACAGAAGCACATCGACAGCAGAGCTGCAGTGGTGGAGAGACGACTGCGAAGTCTCATGGAAACAGGTGAGTCACTTAATTAAACCTCTGATAAGCAAGAAGTGAACGGTGCAGAATTCACTAAGCAGATTTAATCCAATGGACTTTTGCATTGATTAAGTGGTTGCAGTTATGTGTCATCACTGGATTTCTCCTGTTTTCTCTTCCCTATCCCCTGGTCATAGCAGGTGGCTTCCCCTCCCTGAACATTGTTCTGTTAATAATAATAATAAAATAATAATAATAATATATTGTATTAATAGGCACCTTTCAGGGCACTCAAAGACATCTTACAAGCAATGAAATAACAAAATTGAGTATATGGCGATTAAAAACACATCAGAGAATAAAAAAATATAAAAATATTAAAAATGTGTTTGAAGATTGGCTTTAAAGATTGGGAGAAAATCAATTTTGCAAATGTGGTGTGGGAGCGAGTTTCAAAGACGAGCTGACAATTGTCTGAAAGCTCTAACTGGGGTCTAACAGAGGATGGTGGAGGTGGAGGATCCCAGAGTGGAGTAGAGCAAGTTGTGACAATGTGCAGAAGATCGGTGAGATACAGAGGTGCAGGGTTATGGAGAGACTTGAAAGTAAGAAGATGAATCTTAATTAATGCAGTATTTTACAGGAAGTAGTAGAAGGACAGGATTTATATATTTTACTGAAGGAGGTCAGGAGCAGGCCTGTGTTAGAGGTCTCTTCCCGTCGAAAGGGAGTTCTTCCTCTCCAACATCACCAAGTACTTGTAAGAGGGGAAGGTGGCACTATAAGACACCAAAAAATATACATGTAAATGCATAAAAAGATTAACTAAATTGAACCGAACCTTAAATCTCCTGACCTGCATGCAGATGAATACCCTCCTCAGCCATGATGCTAACCTGTCTTCTACTTGTGATTATAATGAAGTAAATTCCAGATCCAGCTCAGTCTAGTTTACACTTTTTTGTTGTTGTTAAATAGTATCTTGCATGTGGATCTTTATGTTTAATGATCTTTATCTTTATCTGTATTCAAATATTTACAGGCTTTCATGTCTTTTATCTGCTGTTGCAGGAAGTGACCGTGATGAAGAGGAGAGACTGATCCAGGAGTGGTTCACTCTGGTAAACAAGAAGAACGCTCTGATCCGCAGACAAGACAACCTGGAACTGTTGTAAGACCTCCCACATATCAGTATACACATACTCATATACGTATATTTGACATTTGTTTTAAACCGACTCGTTCTTAACTGCATCTACAGACAAGAGGAGCAGGATCTGGAGAGGAGATTTGACCTTCTGACCAGAGAACTGCGCGTAATCATGGCTATTGAAGGTCATTAAAGTAGTGGAAACAAGTAATCTGTACAATATCAGTCAAAATGATTTACAGATAATAATACAAATGTAAATGGTAAAAAAAATTAAAACACAATGAATTTGATCTTTTTGAGTTCTGCTGTTTGCTGTGCAGACTGGCAGAAGTCACCCGCTCAGCAGCAGAGGGAGCAGCTGCTCCTCCAGGAGCTGGTGTCTTTGGTCAACCAAAGGGACGAGATCATCAGGGATATCGACACCAAGGAGAGACGGTCAGTATACGTAGGGTTATGTGAAAGAGACAAAGTGGGTTACAGGAAGATTATACATCCAAAAAACAAAAGAGATTAATTTGTTATTTGGATCTTTATGCCTATCTATGATAGAGGGGTGCAGATATCCATGAGCTCAGCACCGTACCGTGTTTTTGTGTTTGCAGGGCCATGGAGGAGGATGAGCGTCTGGAGCGTGGTCTCGAAATGAGGAGGAGAAAATACAGCAACAAAGAAAAATGTGTGTTACAGTGAGACGAGTGAGGACAAGCACAAACAGCTTTTAGTACGGATACTACAAAGTCCCAAAAGAGTACTTTTTTTAAATAATAGAAAGTTGTTGTTTTTTTTAAGGATGCTGGGGCTCTGTATTTTCTTGTATTTAAAGTGCCTTGAGGACTGCTCTGAGTTTGACACTGCAAAAAATATGTCATTTTCTCTGATAAAAAAAAAGAAATTCAAATGTTCATTATTTTAAGTGTGTCTTAATATATAAGTATTGATTGATACTTTTCATCTATTTTTATTTATTTAAATTATGTATCTGACTGTTTTACATCTATTGCACATTTGCTTTTTGTGTGTTTCTGTTTCTAATCTGTGACTTTCAGTATTCAAACACTGGCTTATCCTCCATTGTGAAAAACGAGGCCAAAAATATTTGCAGCTTTGAGGGGAAGTTTAGTTTACAGTTGTTTGTAATCTGCAGGTTTCTAGTAATGTCACCCTACTTGTCACTTCCCCGAGGAAAAAGTCCATAAACACGCCCGAGCATTTTGGATATCAAAATAGTATGTGGTAAGTCATGAGCTGGACTCGAATGCCTCATGTTGTTAGCGGAGGATATGTGTTTTCAGATTCAGGATGACCCCCTGCAGCCTCATGGAGCTCAAAGATGTTTCCAGCCTAAAGTTACACCTTGGTAACTTGCAGTCTTTGTGGATGTGATTGCTCACGTCTGCAATATTCACAGAAATCAAAGTGCTTTCCATTTCTGTGTCGACTACTGCATGCATGCTTATGGAGGTGTGCTAATAAAGTGGCACTGTGCTCCACAGCGCCACTATGTATTCATACTGTAGCTGCGTATAATGAATCGAGGATGTTTGTGATGATGAAAATAAAAACATATCGGCTGGTTGCTCATCTGTCATGACTGTTTTCATCACTTAGTCTTCATCGCACTTCATAGATTATGTAACCCAGGGCAGTAACTGTAATATGATCCTAATGTATAATCATAACATGCTAAAAATCACCCTGTGCACATTATAGCATAAAGGCATTGGACGCTACAAAAATATCCCCTAATGTGATCCTGCAGCGATCACAAAACAGACATTGCTGGATAGTGATCAATACAGCTGAAATCTAAATTTAACAACACTTCAGGGTAAATATCTGTTTTTACCTTGCTTGGTGTGTCTCAAATGAGGCTTAGTAATGCATCTCCAACTGGCAATCCAGCTGTGAGGAAATTACTTAAATTGTTAAGCCAAAGACGTCAAACTCATGGGCCACATACAGCCCACTAGGATCTTGGTCGGACCAGTGTAGAGAAGCTTAACTACACATGTGATCTCTCAGATATTAAAAGGCCAAAATTTATGCTCTTCTTTAAAGTTTCCAAAGTTGTCCAGTGGGCCAGCTTTGACCGTCTGCCAATAAGTGATTTCCAGTATTTATGATTGTCGGTATTTAAACGGTTGTAAATGACTTGTTGGCCTTTAATATGTAAAACATATGTCAAATATATCTCTTGTGAATGGGATCGAGCCACTTTAAGCCAGAAAGATCATTTCTGTCACAGAGTAGAAGCTGCAATCAGTTTCTAGCAATTATTTATCCTTTTTTTGTGAATACGATACTCTCATTAACATAAAAAATGTCTTTCTCAGAAGAGATCTGGCAAAGAGGGAAGCAACAACCATAACATAACAGTTGTATAAATATATTTTAAGTGCCAAAAACGATTGGATTGATTATAATGTAGAACACAGAAGTACATAAAATAAGGCAGAGTCATAAAGATTCTTACAAAACATGTAATTTCTTTATTTTATTTATAAGACCTTCGTAAATCCTGCTGACTGCAGACTATCAATATAACCAAAGATATTGATGAATTAAAATGTGAATATATACATAAAAATATATACACTTAACTATATATTTTTGGCATTGTATAATCTATTTAACGTGTAGACTGATACTGATAAATCAGCTAACAAAAATCAAATGGATCAGTTTAATAAAAGAAATTATAAGTCAGAGCCACTGTTTAGTACTACTGCACGAACACAGCAAAGAGCAAATGTGAACTGATGCAGCCCGAAAAGATCTTAATGATGGCATGAAAATAGTTTTTTTGTATGCGATTGGATGTAAGGTGCAGAATAACGACCACTAGCATGTCCCTGGTGGTCTAGTGGTTAGGATTCGGCGCTCTCACCGCCGCGGCCCGGGTTCGATTCCCGGTCAGGGAACTAGCTTTTTCGTGTTCTATGATGGCTACATGTTTGTTTTCCAATTACACAACTACTTCTATTGGCACGTAGAGGCTAAACTTCACCTGTTTTTTTTTTTTCTCTGACCCTAGTATAAAAATATTGAGTCATAACCAAAACTGAATATTTACTGTTATGTATTATGTTTGTTTGCATGTGGTCTTGTTTACACTCGTACCGTTTACCTGAATGAGCTTGTTTTTTGCATGCAGTTACTGGACTTCGTAGAGCATTAGAGCTAATCAGCTAATCACCAGGACTCACTAATCTGATGACTGACAGGATCGAGCCGATCCAAAGCGGGGTGAACCTGCACTCCTTTGTTAGCCGCCGCTTAGCTGGAGAACCAGCTGAAGTTGTGATTGCAAACCCTCACGTTTGTCATGCAGGTAGAGAACACCCACCCGAGGTGTTTTCTGGGTTTGCTGAGCTGCCTATTCTTGGCTGGTCTCTACGTTGGCAGTTTGTACGTCTGGAGAAGCAGCTCACCAAGGTATACAGCTCACCAACAGGCATGAGAGAAGTGCTGTTAGGCCAGACAACTAAACTTAAACTGTGCGTGCAGGGATCATCCCAGTGTGATAAAGCGTCGCTGTGCTAGTGTGCTGCTGGTCTCTGTAGTGTCGCCTGCAGTTGTGAAGACATGGATACACTGGGCTGATGTCAAGGTGAGTATACTGTAGATAGTAACATTTCCCCTGGAGGATTTACCTTGTGACCCGACAAGTTTCAGCAATATGAGTTTAACTCAACTCTGTGACAATTTAAACTCCACCTATCATTAAATTCTGTATCTGTTTGTTTATTTGTCCCAATTGCTACCTTTGTAAAGGATCTTTTCCATCAGTAATCTATACCAATCAAATCAAATCTGTGATTACTGCTCATCTAAAATGAAATGTTATGAACAATATTTCCAAAAGTATTTGCTTGTTTTTCTTCAAACTCAACTTGAACTTGAAATATCCCTAAGGTTTAATGGGATGTTGCTATGATGTAGCTATAACAGCTTCAACTTTTCTGGGAAGGCTTTCCACAGAAGAAGTGTTTATGGGAATTTTTGACCATTCTTCCATCCCATAGGTGTTCCATCAGTTTGAGGTCAGGACTCTGTGTAAGCCAGTTAAGTTTTTCCACACCAAGCTTGCTCATCCATGTCATTATGGACCTTGCTTTGTGCACTGGTGCGCAGTCCTGTTGGAGCAGGAAGGAGTCACCCTCGTCCCCAAACTCTTCCTATAAAGTTGGGAGCATGAAAATGTCTTGATATGCTGAAGCCTTAAGAGTTCCTTCCACTGGAACTAAGGGGCTCAGCCCAACTGAAAAACAACCCCAGACTATAATTCCCCCTTCACCAAACTTTACACTTGGCGCAATGCCGTCAGACAACCGCCAAACCCAGACTCGTCCATTGGATTGTCCATCACTCCACAGAGCACGTCTCTATTGCTCTAGAGTCCAGTGGCGGAGTGCTTAACACCACTGTATATGACACTTTGCATTATTCTTGGTGATGTGAGGCTTGGATGCAGCTGCTTGGCCATGGAAACCCATTCAATGAAATTCTCTGCACACTGTTCTTGAGCTAATCTGAAGACCACATGAAGTTCGGAGGTCTGTAGTAGTTGACTCTGCACAAAGTTGGTGACCTCTGTACACTGTGCGCCTCAGCATCCACTGATCCCACTCAATGATTTTAAATGACCTACCACTTGATGGCTGAGTTGCTGACATTCCCAGTCAATATAGTGTATTTTCAGAATCAGAATACTTTATTAATCCCGAAGGAAATTATGGATCTCACAGCAGGCTTTAGTAGCTAATGTCTTAAACACAGGACTTCAGTGACTCGTTTAAATGTCATTCTCACGGTTTCTAAAACACATTTTGCCCTTCAGGCGGACGTATCTGTGTGGGAGTTGATGGGACTTCGCATGGATGGTTTGGTTGCTGCATCCATATTACCTTTATTACTTACTATGGTAAGTCAGGGGATCCCATATCTGATTAACTTGATTCTGCATTCAAAATATTAATATAAATTTTGTTTAGCATACATTTGTAACATTTTGCTTCATTAGAGATGGAAAAGAATAGTACTGATTTCAAATTGCTTAACTGAGGGCACAAATATCTCTGAAGTTTTATATGTAGCACACATTAAATACTTACAGATGAAAACCCAGGATTTATTTACATTTACATCATTAACATAAGATTTGTCAGAAATGAAGAAAACCATAGTCAATGAGTTTTTCAGTAGCTTCAAACAGTAATCTGTAGATCCCGTTTCTCTCATACAGCAATATATTTATGCTTAGCTGAGGCATGCTTGACATTTCAGAGATTTATTTCCATTCCTGCTAAGCGTGGCCTCAGCTTAGCTTTGCAACTTCCATTAAATGTCTGCGTTCTGCAGTAATATCCCCATGGGCGAGTTTAAACCACTCACTGACAAATGTACCCTGTAGTTTCCAGTTTAATCTTTTTTTTTTATTTACATCCTCTAGATTTTATAAACAACTGGTTTTACTCTCCCACGTCAGGTTTTTTATCTCGGCCCACTGGTTCACTCTGCTATAGACAACCCCAAAGGCTTCACCGGGGAAATGCAGTGTGCACTGGGTACGTTTGTCTCTATAATAACTGAATGTTATGTTGGGTTAACTGGAATCAGAGAGCTGCACATGTGTGCTTTCATGCACTTCCCTCAGATGTTCAGTCATGGAGGCGGTGTGCGGGGGACGCAGTGTGGCTCAGAAACCAGGTGGTGGCACCAGTGACAGAGGAGCTGGTGTTCAGAGGGGCCATGCTTCCTATGTTGGTGCCCTGCACGGGACCCACAGGCGCTATCGTCACCGCTCCACTGTTCTTTGGAGTTGGTATATGAAAAAATTTTCAAACAGAAAAAAACCCATATTTGCATATATTTGAACTATTTCCAATTAAACTTTAACACCAAGTTCGAGAGACTTCTTCTTCTTCCAGCAGTTCCCTTTAGGGGTCAACACAGCAGGTCGTCTGCCTCCATCTCACCCTGTCTCCAGCATCCTCCTCTGTCACACCAACCCTATGCATGTCCTTCTTTCCTACATCCATGAACGCTCTCTGTGATCTTCCTCTTTTCCTCCTGCCTGGCAGCTCCATATTCACCCTCTTTTGTCCAATCCAGTCGCCACCCTTCCTCTGCACCAAGGAAGAGAGAATAATAAATGTTGCATTTCGTGCCTCATTTTTTCTGCCAAATCTATGTTTGCAAGTGTTACATTACATTTGGTTTCACTGCCTTTAATGTCAACTGCCTCATTTTAGCTCATTTCCACCATGTCATAGAGGAGCAACGCCTTGGGAAAGAGAGCATGAGTGTCATCCTTCTGGTGGCAGGTCAGTTAGCTGAAAAGGCAAACCATGTTGTTATGATCAGAGCAAGGTGACTCATTTCTTTTAGCTTGATTTTAATCATCTTTATGTGACATGGACTGATAAAACTAAAACTGAGCACTTTGATCGCATCTTTTTTCTCTCACAGGGATGCAGTTCTTGTACACAACTGTTTTTGGTGCTTTTACTGCCTTTATATTCATGAGAACTGGTAAGATATGTGATATATACGATAATTTGGTCACTCATTAGCCCACGATAATCAACCCATTTCATCTGAAATCTTTGTTTTGTTTTGTTTTTTAAGGGCATGTTGTCGGTCCAGTTTTGTGCCATTCATTTTGCAACAGTCAGGGCCTGCCTGACATCAGCTCTGCCCTGCAACACCCTCACAGTTCAGCTCTGCTCTTCTCATATCTGATGGGAGGCCTGCTGTTTCTGGTGCTGCTCTTCCCGCTGACAGACCAGTACTTTTATGGTCCCATTCCCATCTGCAGCCTGGCTCCCCCTCCAGGGTCGGTTTGCTGAATGAAATCGAATTAAGTTAAATGCGCTCCAGCTCTCTTTCTTTTACTCTGGATTTCATTTTGTGATGTAAAAAGTTGCTGTTTTTTTTTTTTTTAACAAAACTAAAAATCTATGCATGTATATATGTCTATACGTGGGTGGGTCAGCATGAGAGCAGAATGATTAGAGCAGTTTAGACATTTCCTGCATGGTCAAAAATATTTCCTACTGTATTGAAACTCAATGCCAGTACAACTTTCCCTGGTTAAAAGGGAGAAAAAGAGGTGTGTGTGTGTGTGTGTGTTCGCACGCATGGCTGAGAAAAACAGATGAACTGTGAAAGGGAAGGCAGTAGAAAAAAAACACATGCAGACAGAGAGATGGAGACAGACACAAACACAGATGATGTTGCCAGAAAATACACAAAGGGAACCAAAGTGAGAGGCACAACTAAAACGTGTGCTATTAGGACAAATAAGGCTATGACAGTCAGACTGTAGCAGCAAATACAGAAAGAAGTGAGGGAAAATGGTTGGAGTGGGCAGAGAAAAGGAAAGCGGAGAAAATAAAGGAGAAATGTAAAGGAAAAGTGGAGCGGGAAGAAGCTTAAAGTATTTCCCCAGGGAAACTGAAAATGTGAAGTAGCAGAGATGAGGGAGAGGAGGTCATTCAGGGTATGTGGAAATGGTTAAAGGTTGCATTGGACAATTAAGATTTATGAGTCAGACAGATGTTTACAAATTAAAACAGCGGGGGTAAAGTCACGCATGTTTCTGCACATGTACTACATGCATATCTTAGCTGTTCTTGACTTGACTAAAGTTTTTTTTGAATCCCATTTCAACTGGTAAGGTTTTTGGGTAAGCCTTTATTAGATGGAAATGGAGAAAAGTGGGGGAAATGACACGCAGGAGATGGTCTGTGGCAGATATGAACACAAACAGCCTTTGGCATACGGGCTGCCTGTTTAACCACATGTACAGACGCTCCTGCAGCAAAAAAAGATCAGATTTTTGTAGTGTTCCTCTGCACACCACCACAGTGGATTTTAAATCAAACAATCAACATGTGATTGAAGCGCAGACTTTCAGCTTTAACTCAAAGACTTTAACAAATATATTATACTGGCTGTTTAGGAATTACAGTCATTTTTTATATACAGTTCCCCATTTTCAGAGGCTCAAAATGAATTAGACAGTTGACTCATAAGCAGGTTCGTGCCACACTGAGGCCTGTTCTCTTGTTATTTCATGACAAATGTAGCACACATAACACTGGAAGTTGTTTCAAACTGTTTAATTTGTTACTTTTGAAGTGGCCAAATCAAAAGTCTGTTACATTTCTAAAAGGAATGAATGCACTGGTTCTCTCAGCAACACCAACAGACCTGAAAGACCACAGAAGATGAAAGTGGATGATGACAGAATTATTTCCATGGTTAAGAAAAACAACTTTACAATACCTAATAATGTAAGAAGATTCTCCGGGAGGTAGAGGTAAAGTCTCTAAAAGAGCCTGCACAGTTCAGAAAAAAAAAATATTGGACAGATGAAACAAAGTATAACTTCTACCAGAACGAGGGCAAGAGAAATGTTAGTAGAAGGAGAGAAACAGTGTGTCAGGCATGGTGGAGGTATTGTTATGATATGATAATATATGGCTTTCAGTGAAACCAGGTAACTAGTGGAGGTTTTTTTGATGAAGTGACTCCTGGTAGAAATAGCAGGATTAATACTGAAGCGTTCAAGGCTGTACACTCTGCTCAGATTCATCCAAATGCTGCAAAAACTGATTCGACAGCGCTTCATGGTGAAATAGATACTGGCTCAAAGCAACCCAATAGTTTTTTAAAGAAAAGAAATGGGATATTTTTCAATGGTAAGGGCCAGCCATTGACTGGCCCTTACCCAATTACTTTTCAACCCTCTGAAATTGGGGGACGGTAAATGCAATACATTTGTTAAACCCCTTGAATTAAAGCTTTAAAAAATAAAATAAATAAAAATCTGACTTCAATCACATCTATATTGTTTGATTTAAAATCACCTGTGGTGGTGTACAGAGGCAAAACTCCAAAAAGATGCATCTCTATCCAAAAACATACTGACTTAAGTGGATTCATTAAGGCCACATTTAACTACACTGAGCATTCAAAATGCTTTTGCATCCAAATTCATTCTAAAATTGGCATTAAATCGTGCACATAAGACAACAGTATACTGCACCTACAATATTAACAGATTTGAACCCTGACTAACGTTTCAGCTGGGCAAGTAACACTGGTTTCAAAGTGCTGCTGGCTAAGATGGGGACAGAGCTAGAGATCATCTTCAAAATGAAACACAGAAAAGAGATAGAACAAAAATACGCCCTACCTTCACTTTTACACATTTTTCCAAACCAAAATCACTTCATAAGTCAATCTCATCCTGTCGCCGATACCACAGCATTGCAGCTTCACCTTTAGTGTTTGGCGCTGGGCAGTTTTTTAGCTTTATCCGACTGCAGCTGTCTGCACCTGAAAATGACACACGGCTCATGATGTATGATATACAAGCATCTCCTTTTCACCTTGTAGCATCAGCCGTGGGTGTCACACTCAGATGGATTGAATATTTCAGATTTAAAAGGATTAAAAAAGCTTTTTTTTTTCCAGATCTTTATTTATTCAGGGATAGACTGCTCATTTGTCAGCATGCTCCTTCCCTATTTCGCTTTCCTACATTTCAACTCAGGGACTCTTGGCATCTTTCCAGCTCAACAAGGTCTACTAAATTTGTGGAACATTGCTGCACTGACTCAAACTTGGCAGCAGGTTTTTGTAAGAAGCTTCTGAAAGAAAAAGGTGGAACCTGCTTCATTGCTGGGAGTATTAAACAAAGACAGTAGAGGAAAAAATGCATATTTTTGCATTGTTTTAGGGAGTGATTTACTTTGGTTAGACTTCTTTTTTTCTTATTTACTTTATAAAAGCTGTTTTTTGAGAGAAAAAGAGTAGGAAAATGAGCCCGGATCAAATGAGGGACGTGGATGTGTGCCAAATGTGAAGTTTCCAGGATATTAAACGGTGCAGAAATGAGTCAGACACATGACCGTTCTACACATCAGACGCCCGTCTGTCTCTTTGTTTCTCCTTTTGTGTCCTCTCCTTTCTTTTCGCAGTTGATGCTTTTGCCATTACAAACACACACACACACGCGCACACACGAATGCTCCCTCCCTGGAGAAATATTACTGTATCGTGAAATGCAGAGCAGAAAAGTGTCGTCCATGTGTGCATGCGTGTGTCTATGGAAAAGCTGAGCCTGTCATCTGGTAAAGAAATAATCTTTCAGGAATTATCCTCTCCCAGTTTTCTGTCCTCCCATTCTGCCTCTCAGCAGTTTTTAAACCTTGACTCGCTGTTTGTCTGAGGTTTGTTTATACATGTGTGATTCTGTACATGCAGCTGACTCCTATTGCAGTTAATAATACATAAATCATTGCCTCCTTATCCTTTGCTACTTATGTTCCTTTTTATTTCGCTATGCTAAGCTTCTTTTTTTACCTGCAGAGTTTGGTGGAGAATGTTTTATCTTGTTTTTCATGTAAGCAAGTAATGAAGGAACTTTTTAGCATTTTCAGCCTGTAGTTGAGGCGATGTTTGCACTGTGTGATGATTTAACTATTAATACATAAAGGTTAAAAATCAAATGAGACACCTTCACTGCTTTGACATAGCTTCAATGCTTATTTGCCGACTTGCAGCTGTCAAAACCGTCCATACATTTTTAGCCGATGCTAATCGATCCAGTAATTGAAGACTATAACCAACGGGAATTGATCTCCTCTCGATTTAACAACTGGAGAGCGACCCTGGTCGGTTCAGATGTTTGTGGTATAGATTTGTTGACAGTGTGGGTGTGGATGGAGGGCATCTGTGTCTGCTGTGAAAGATGAAGCATGTGGACGTTGTAGAAGAAGTGGATAAAAGTATCCTCTTTTTCCTCCACTGAAATTACCAGGAATGCCTACAGTCTATTATTTAACCACAAGGCCACTGCTAATTGTTTCAGTGTGTGTGTGTGTGTGTGTGTGTGTGTGTCTTAAAACACCAGCGGTTGGGAAAAATGAACAACGTGACGTGTCCTGCTCTACTTGATATGGCACAGATGCTGCAATAGGCCTGAATGGTGCGATTCTGTACTCCCGTGACCCAAGACCATGAGGAAATAACTAAACAGTTTCACTGGCATCACACGAGCTCAGGAACAGAGGCATAACTAATTTGTTTAGTCCCAAAAAGCCTCTATTAGCATTTAAAGCCTTGCATTTATTCCATGTTTCCAACTGTATCATATTATCTTAAGTTTATATTTTACTGACTTTCTGAAATAACACTGAGGAAGGTGGCAAGGTGTTTTTATATATTTCAATTATGTCACAACATAAGAATTAAAAGTTTCTATATACAGCACTCTGTACTGACAGATTCTTGTGCAAAATCAACCAGTCCTTAAATGTAAAAATCCATGTGGGTGAAGGCATTTCCAGCAGAGCTCTCTTCTGCCAGGAATGCCTTGCTCTCACACTCACACCTGAAAGTTCCTCAGTATAACCGCAGGGCGATCTGTTTGACACTGAGCAGCTCCGCTAAAGCATCTGGAGCTCTTTCAATGTATCTGCCCAGATTTATCCTACTGACTCACTGATCCTTCCAACAGCCTTCTGGGAGAACAGACACAGTTTAGTCCAGTGAGTTCAAAATAACACTTTTTGGGCTCCTTCCTTTCATCTGAGAGAATATTTCACATTTAAAAAAGGGATCCTAGTGAAGGTGAAGTAACTGTTTAATTGTTTTTAAGTGTTTCAAGCCAAACAACTACTGGATTCCATTCCATGATTTAGTGTCCATATATTTATGGTCCCCAGAAGTCTTGGCTTATCCCTGGAAGGTCAAAGTTCACAGTTTCAACCGCATGAACTGTGCTGACTTTGGCAATCCCTTTGTTTTTCCCTGTAAAGCCATCGTGACCTTCACATCTGTGATTTTTAAGTGAAACAAACTCCGACTGGAATGGA